TCCGCCTCCAGCAAGACCCACGCGTTGGGCACCTCGTTGTGCCCGTAGTCGTCGAGAGAGAGCACGTGCAACGGTCGTATGACCCCCCCCCCCCCTAAGAACCTGAGGCTCGCGTGCCGGCCTGCCTTCGACATAGCTAAGAACCTGAGCCTGGGCTACGAGCGCCGCAGTTCTTAATGCCCGTCCGGAACTGTACTCGAGTATCGTTCTAGCACCCGATGTGGCAGTCGAGCGACTCCCTCTCGAAGGCGTTGCCAGCGGTGCCGCAGCGGGCCGATTTGCCCCCTTCGCGCGCCTCGCGATCGCAATACGAGTGGCACACATCGCACACGGCATTTTTCCACTGGTCCAAAACAGAGTCGACGGAACACACCAAATCCATCACGGACTTGACTAGGCCTTCGCCACGTTTGTCGCAAGTAGGAAGCTGGCGAACCTCATCCTGCAACTTGCGAATGACGTCCTTCATTTTGTTCTTCCCGTCTGTCACGCAGGGCTCAAGGTTCCACAAATCACACGTCTTGTGAGGCTCGATGAGAGCTGCAAGCGCGACATAGACACCCGCTTCGATCGCCTCATCCACAATCGAATCGACGAACAGCTGGCAGACAAATCGCCCCTCGTTCACGTTGACAAAGTTGGACGTAGCCGCCGAGACGTAGCCGGAGTAGTGGACGCAGGGATGCCCCTCCCACGCGGTCTCGCCGTCAGTGCAGTGGCGGTGCTCCTTCACCTTGAAGACCGAGATGCCCCAAGCCTGGTCGTTGTGTTCGTCAGCGCCGCACGTCGACGTCGGCTCGAGCAGCGCGATATTCTTGTGGTCCCATGCGCTCGAGACCAGCGCGTCCGCTTCTGCCGCGTCGCCCTCGATGGCCTTTGCGAGGTGGTTCGGGAAATCGGTGAACTTGACCGCCGTCTGCGGGTAGTAGTTGAAGGCGATGTCGGCGATGAAGTGGGCCGCGGTATCGCCCTCCGTCTCGCTCGCCTCGACGTCGCGCTCCTTCATCACGACGTTGAGGTTCGAGCAGAAGCCGGAGGTGGCGATCAGCCAGGCGGGGTCGTCGACCACGTCGGGCACGGGAGGAGAGGGCTTGGGCGCAAAGGCGAGGCCACCAGCACCTGGGTTGATGTCGTCGACCGTTTCTGGCTCGACTTTGCTTTCTACTACTGTCCACATATGGCGGTCAAGTTCACCGATTTCCCTCACCACCTCGCGAAGACCATCGAGGGCGACGCGGCTGAGGCGGACGCGCTGGTCTCGAGTGCGTGGGACCACAAGAACATCGCGCTGCTCGAGCCGACGTCCTCGTGCGGCGCTGGCGACCAGAGCAGTCAGGCGTGGGGGATCTCGGTCTTCAAGGTGGAGGAGCACCGCCACTGCACGGACGGCGAGACGGCGTGGGAGGGACATCCTTGCGTCCACTACTCCGGCTACGTCTCGGCGGCTACGTCCAACTTTGTCAACGTGAATGAGGGCCGGTTCGTCTGCCAGCTGTTCGTCGATTCCGTCGTTTTCCACTTCAACGTTGTGTAAACGACAGTCGTTGTTATAAAATGAACTCGGGGGCACGGGACGCGGCACAAACGGGGCACAAACGCCAGGCCACAAAGACGGGGAGGCACGTAGTGACGCAGGGGAGTCTAGGCGACGGCGGCGTCCTCCGACGCCGCGGCGAGCCTGAGCTCGGTCGCAATCTCTTCCGCCGCCGCGAGCTGCAGCGCGACTGACATGCGCTGGGCCTGCAGCGACAGCCACGACCGCGTCGACCAGCTCGCCTCGTCCTCGTGCTGCCGCTTCGAGAGCTTGTTGCGCACCTTGTCCTTCATCTGGTAGAACAGCCGTTTGACCGCGTTGCACCACCCGCCGAAGGTTTCAAACAGGTACATCTGCACGTCGGTGTCCGAGCGCGAGAGGGCGTGCGCGTAGTCCGCCTTCTTGTACGCCACATAGCCGCCGCCGTCGCTCGGCCTGAAGTCGCCGTCCCCGACAGCGCCGCGCTGCTCGAGGCCGAAGAACGTCCGCGCTCGTGCCGGGCTCGGTGTTGCCGAGGCCCACAAAGCGCTCGCTTGCCCGACTCCTCCGGCTTGGAGGAAAGCCAGTCCTGAACTTGACCTCCCCAACAAGCCCGAGGCCCAACGGCCGGGCCCCGCACCAAAAATCGGGCCGGATTCTTAAAAAACCAAGGG